TTATCTGTCCCCTTACCCAAGTCTTTCTGATAACAAGAAGACTATTAATCTTTCGATTAATTTAGGTTTATTATAATAAAGTTTCTACTATGACATTATATTTAATAAAAAAAAAAAAAAAAAAAAAAGGTTCAAACAACAATCAAAGAGCTTGCTTGCTAGGATAAAATCAGCATTACAATTGCTTTTGATAGCTTGTGCAATATTATGAATCAAGAATTAATAGACATAGTATTTATTACATCTTCAGGAAAGACTTTAATTTGGAGAGCAGATGATATTAATATTGAGAAACAATGGCAGAAAGAAGTAATTGCTCAAATTCATATACTTTTTGAAGAGACCAAAGAATTAAATATTAGAGCAAATTGCCTCATTACAGATTTAGCAGGATTATATGCTGCAGCTTGTCGTATTTTGAGACGTGAAATGTATAACAAGGTGTTTATACTTTGTTTTGCACATCAAGTAAATTGTTGTGTTGGAGATATTTAAAAAATCTATATAATTTAAAAATGCAAGTAAATATGCACTTCATATTGTTAATTTTTTTTATTATTCAGTATATTTTACTGCTAAACTTCGTGACAAACAAATAAATATTTTAAAAAAATATATTAATTTGATCACACCAAGTATAACAAGGTAGAATAGTTATTTTGAATGCTTTGATAGCATTCTTAAAAACAAGTATCCTTTAAAAATAAGTTATTTTATTACAATTTAAAATCTAAATTTTTTTAAAATTATAATATATATTTTTTTTTAGACTCTTATTACCAAAGATAATACAGCCTCGGATGATGAATTAAAACTTCCAGCTAATGTTAAAGCTGCCATTAACCATGATTCTTTTTGGAATTCGCTTGTAGCATTATATAATATACTTTATCCTTTTTGTGATGCACTCGATATTATACAATGTGATAAAGCTTGTCTTTATAATGTTTTATATATCTTTGGTTATTTCATGCAAATATTCAAAGATCTTGAAATATCATCATTTCAAACAAAAATGATTGCATGACTTGAAAAAAGATGGGCTACATGGGAGCAACTATTACTTCTTCTTTCATTCATTCTTCATCTTTTATATTGATTTAATTATTTTAATCAAGTACAATTATATATTAATTACACCCAGAAGCATGGTTATTATATTACTACAAAGCTTGGTTTGAAGTTTACCCAAACTACTTACTTCATAAACTCAAATTTTACAAATAACAAAAGTATCCTTTTATTAAAAAAAAAACCTTTAGACAATTTAAAGGAGATATTCTTCTTTGGTGGTCACATAGCTCTAAAGCAGCACCTAAATTGAGTTGCATTGTATGTCAATTATTTGGCATATGTATTACAACTGTCTCTGTAGAATGACTTTTTTCTATTATGGGCTTTTTACATTCTCTATTGCAAGGTAAACTAAAAGTAAGTTCTATTTTGAAATATAAAATTTTATTGTATTAATTTTGCTTAATTATAGAATGAGAAAGTAGTTGTAATGAGTCAACTTCATGCTGAAATTTTATGAGCTTATAAAAAAAAATTCAAATTCAATTATATTCAATCAAATTATACTTCTTTTACTGCCTCTTTCTCTACTACTATCTTCATTTTTTCATCATTATCTGACCAAGACCAAGTACTTAAAAGAACTAATACAAATGAAGATATTACTTCAGAAAGTGATTAGGATCTTGTAATTAATAAATGGGAAGAATTACTAATTAACGAAGAACTGGAAGAAGAATGTGATGATCTTGATAACACCAAAATAGATTTTCTTGATACAGAAATTCACCTTGCTGAAAATCAAACTGCTAAATAGAAATTGTATGAATTGTTTTCATCCAATTTACCTTTTTCATTTAATATTTGAATTGATCTGCAAGTCATGTGATTATAATATTTAATATAATTTATTCTAAGAAAATTTCTGTATTTTTTTTTGACCCTGATAATTTTTTTTTTTTTTATAAAAAAAAATTAAAAGTAACTTAGCTGTTATATATAAATAAATAGCTAATTCAGAATATTTTTATATGCTCTTGTTAAATAAAACTCATATTTTTGTGACAAACCAATTTATATATATCTAATGAACAATAAATTAATTTGGTCAGCAACGAAAACATTTGTATACCATGTATGGAAGTGTAAAGTTGCAGAATATAAGTAGTCAAAAATAAAGAAATAGCAATTAGAAATTATAAATAAATATGATTATAAGAGTAGACAATATAGCTAATATTTTTATAATAATTAAATAACTATGAATAACTATGGGTGTTAAACTAGTAAATATTTTATTATCATTATTTAAATTTTACATTGATATGTAGGTTACTTTGATTATAGTTGTACATATGATTTAAGGTACATGTATCCAATTAATTATTGGTAGCAAATCATATAGGTTAGTATAGCAAAATGGACATTTTGATCAAGGTTAAAATTTTTGCTAGATCATATTTCCAAATATGTGATTTATTTACAGTGTAATAAAATTTTGTACAATTTTGTATGCAGTATTTTTTTATTTTTATGTTATATATAAAATTTTTTTTTTTTTTTTTTTTTCAGTATTAAGGTGACCTTCTTGGCCTGGGGACTTTTTATTAGTAATTATTAGTTATTACAGTTACAATGAAGATACAACTAGCCACATGTGCACCTTTTGGGTGTCTATTTAAGTAGTCTGCCTGCAGGTTCTACACTAGATGTCATACCTATAACCCAACTAGGAAGTTACCCTTTTAAACCTTCTGATCCTAACTGTATTTATAACCTATCATACTAACCCGAGAACTACTATCTGGCCCATTCCTCTAGATTTTGCACCCTGCCTTAGGACTTTTGTGACTTATCCTGGGTTTGCACCAACTAATTACTGGCTTGCATTCCTCTGTTGAGCGGACGCACAACTATCCACGAGGTAAACCTACCAAAGCTTTCCATATCCCATTTTGGGCCAACCTGGTTTTGCGTAGTTGCTGAGGCTCCCACTTGCAGTTAGGCTATTACTCATATAACTACTTTTGCCCTTATAAGGTTCACTTTCCAATTTCAATACCTACATTCAGACCTTTCCTTTTTCTATTATTTCCTTATTAGGGCATCCCTTACTTTTATTATAACTCTGAAATAACAGTATTTTTAATAAAACAATCGGCTGCCAGTATGACCAAAAGAGGTCGCCTTAAAAAAAAATTAATAATAATAAAATATATATTTTTTAAATTATTAATAAAAAGATTTCTATACAAAATTTCATATCAAATAATACAGAATTTGTAGCAAATTTTGTATCATTTCATATAGAATTTTATACGAAAATTTATATATGATTTATACAGAAAAATTTTAGTATTAATACATGATAATAGGGGTGTGGCAGCCTAGTGAAGTGGTCTAGTCATCACCCCACCAAGCAGCAGGTCTAGAGTTTGAATCCCACGGATGACGCTTTTCAAAAAATAGATTTGCATTAGGTAATGATTATCCATCAATCAGTTGGATCTAGAAATCTGTAATCTTGGTTGCACTATCTAGAATGGGAGCTTTAGCGTAGAAATGCCAAGAAACAGGGATGATCGAAACACATTTGAGAAAACCCGAGTAAGGAATAACTACAATCTTCGACAGTGCAACAAGAAAGACCTGAATTTGGAAGTTAGGACCGAGATTGAAGAACCGAACGACAACAAGATCCTTTAGTGAGGGGATTCACCAACCCGACCGCCAATTTAGAAAAGCTAAAAATCTGCGAGACCGTTACAGAGTACACCAACCCTGGCCAGCTGGCATGGCAAACAAGTGGTGGGGGCTCTACCCACTAAGACCAGGGGCTATGGAAGTCGGGCGGGAAACCAGTCGGACAGAAAAATGCTGGGCGTGTCCGGAGGACCAGCCAACCAAATTGGAGGAAAAGGACATGTGCTATGAAATCATGTACCAAGACGAGACGAGGGCACCGGCATCTAATGCCAAGCCAAGGTCGAATCTTCCGAGTCATCGGTTGGAAGTAAGGGATGGACTAATAAGAAAATAATAGAAAAAGGAAAGGTCTGAATATGGGTATTGGGATTGGAAAGTAAACCTTATAAGGGCAAAAGCAGTTAAATAGGAAATAGCCCAACTGCAAGTGGGAGTTTCGGCAACTGCGCAAAACCAGGTTGGCCCAAAATGGGATAGGGAAAGCTCTGGTAGGTTTACCTCGTGGATAGTTGT